CTTGAGCTGTCCATCTGTTTGTGTGCTTTCCTTAGCCAGGTTTAATTTGGATTTGGATTTAGGAGCATGCTAGAGACACCTCAGTACAGTTGCTGTCAAGGATGACCATAGGTTTCTGTGGGCGAGTGGCTGGAGCCCGTAAAAAAGCAAAGCTGCTGCAGCTTCTGAAGGTTCAATCACTCAATACAGTATTTCAGAATAACTGCAGTGTGTCACAGGGAATCACACTGGACATGTTTTTTGCTTTTCCTTTTTCTTGACAGTAAATCCAAGGCAGCTGTTTTGTAGAGCGGGAGCATGTATGCACCCTGAGCACTTGCTGAAGGAAGGTGGAAGGTAATTTGTAAATGAATCCGCATGTGAGTGAGCAGTTGTTTCTAGGGATGGTTCAGTGCAGCAGTATTTAGATCTTCTGTTTATATTTACCTGAGAGATGAACGAACAGAAATATTCTCCCTTACATATGCTGTTGCGCAGGATTTGGAATCACAGAAATACGCAACTAGAAGTAAATAGTGACCCATAGAGTCGCTGGTATCAGACGTGTGGCAATGTTGCAACAGACAGATCCACAAATGCAGGATGTGGAAGTAGTATCTGGAAGATACTCAAAAGCTTTCTGGACATGGTCCTGGACAACTGCTGGCTCTTGGTGGCCCTGCCTGAGGAGGAGGTTGGACCAGGTAAACTCCAGAGGTCCCTTCCAACCCCAACTGATCTGTGATTCAATAACAACCTTTAAAAAGCAAAGCATCAGAAAAACAGACTCTTAATTCTAGATCACGTGTAGGTCATAAAGAGCTTATTGCATCACCCAAGTGGGTGAGGCAGGGAAGTTTGTGACACTTTCTCATTTCCTTTGAGACCTGTGGTAAGTTGTGCCCTATACAATGCCTGTGTTGGATCCAGAGGAACAGGACACTGGCTGCTCATGAGACAGTGGGGCTGGTGCCACGTTAACCCATGTGTTTCAAGAGTCATGTGCTGCAGGTGGCATGCAGGGAGGTGACTTGTGACTGTTGATGGCACTTAATCTAATGTGTTAAGGGTACCTCATAGTAAGTTGTGAAGTTTAAGTATCTCTTCATTGTACCTGCTGGAGATTACGTGTGTGCTCATTCAAATGTGCACTTAGGTAATGCAGATCCAATGAAATGGGGCCTGGGGGGGCTTTTACTCTGCAGATGTGGTCGGGCACAAAGAATGGTGGGGTTTTTTCTCCCCTGTGATTTTTATTTCCTCTGAGGCATTGATTAGAGGTCTTGCTTACTAACAAACCAACTCCCTTGTAACTGTCATCAGAGATTTTGAGTCTCTGCTCCTGTGCCTGCCTGAGGCTGGCGACCATCTGTCCGCCTAGTGTGGAGGGGTTGGCCAAGTCTCTGTGCCCAAGCCTGCATCTGCCATACACTAATGATGCTGTTGAGTGGTGTTTCCAAACAGGAAGTCTAAAACCTATGACTTTCTATGAGTCTCATAGATTTTCTGTCTGTATGACTGTATTGCCTTCAGCATAGTGGGAAAAGGAAGCCAAACAAATTCTGAATGTTTTCATGGTTAGTTTTAGCTGCCAGTCAGGTGTGCAGTCAGTGGGAAGGTGATTAACCCAGGCACCTCAGGTGCTGTTAGCTTCTTTCCGGGGCTGTGCAGTCTCACTCTGAGCTCCCCTGAATCACTTTGCCCTCCGTGTGTTTATTTTAAGTAGCATGACAATTTTCAGTCACACTTGTGAAGCTCCAGGCTTCACAAGGGGAGGGAGGAGGAAGCAGGAGTTGCCCCCTTGCAGCCGGCTTGCTCTGAAAGCTGCTGTTTGCTTAGGCGAGCTGCTCTGAGTGTTTAAAAGCAATAATCCATCTTCTTGATGAATGACCGGTATGTGCTTTTACTGAGGAGTTTTAGGAGGGTGAAATACCTTTAAAGGAACTGCTGTATTTAATCTTCAGCAGCACCAAAAGGCACCATGAGGTGCTTTGTGGGCTGTGTGATGCAGAATAGAGACATTGGAAAGCGTGTACAGGAGGGAAAGCCTGAGAGCATTAACAGTTGAGAATTTGGTAAGATGTTGAGAGAGAGAAAGTGTAAGGCCCTCACATGATTTCACCTGCTTTGTGGCACAATTCCAAAGCAGTTCTCAGTGTACCTCCTGGTGGGAGGGCACACAGCTCCCCTTAACTGGACTGTCAGATATTACGGAAAATTGTATTGCAAGAGAGATTGACTATTGAATTCTAACCCCTATTCTTATACAAACACTGATCATTATAGTACTTAATTTACCAGCATCTTTTCAGGACAGATTGACCATCATCTCAAATTAAATAATATGTCATCAGCATTTCCCAGGGACCCAGCTTGTGCTGAGTCTTCCCTTTACAAAGCCTTGTCGATATGGACAAAGTATTTAAATTGTCTCAGTTCTGTTCCAGAACTGCACTTATTCAGCCTTTTCCTTTTGAATTGGAAAGAACCCTTTTTGTTATTTCTGAATAATATCCACACAGGTGGTAATTATAAAGCATTATCCCAACTTGGTTTATTCTGTCACTGCTGTTCTAGTTCATTTTCTACCACAGGTGTAAGGAGATAACCTGGGCATATTTGCTGAAGTCAACTGACTTTAAAAGAGGGGGAAGAGAAAGTTTCTACCAAATTTTTCTCTCACAAAACTTGTGTCATGAGAGGAAGAGTGTACCACATTGGTGTAATTTATGGTAACTATCCATACACACATACTAATTATACCAAACCTGGAGTAAATTAAGCTGCTAGAAACTCTTTGCTGCAAAGTAGTGTTGAAGCCCCAGTAGTTCTGTGAAACTGATCTGTGCAGATTTCAGCTCAGAGCCTCTGGGCTGCAGAAAAACTGGTGATGAGCTGTTGTTTGGTTCTGAGACACTGGGTCAGTCCCATGCTCACTCACCCTTACTACTGCTGAGAAAAAAAATCAATTATGAAAAGAAAAAGAAAAAAAATTATATTAAATTAAATTGTGGAAGTTTTGCATCAAAACTGTGGATCTTTCTGGTTTTCATCGTCTGTCATTAAATACTAAAATGTCCTCAGTGTGGAGGAGGTGGAGATTGTTAAGAATGGATTGGGAAGCCCTTGGTTCACAGGCAGTTAACAGCGGTATGATTGTCTCGGTGTGCTGCGCAGATGCTCTGTGCTGCTCGGGGTGGCGGCTGTTGGCGGAGCTGCGCTCTGGGGGAGGCACAGGCCAGCTGTGCCCTGGGTGCTGGGGATGCTCCCAGGGCAAGCGTGCCCTGCGCAGGCCAAGTCTGTGTTTGTCTAGGCCATAGGGAGAGTCTGATCACTGACAGCCCTGGAAGAATCTTAGTGAAGTTACAAATTCCAAGAAGAGGTGTCTTTACAAATGTGTATCACTTGCAAATGCATGTCCCTACATCTCAGAAACAATATGTGCAGTACTGGATCTGCTGATATACTGATATCATGTATAGTGTTGGTCCCACTGATTAATATTAATTCTTAGCACCAATTTTCTATTGATCTCTCCAGAGCTCCAGGGTTTCTACCACTCAACCTTCTTAAGAAAGCAGTTGATATTTAGGAGTCACAACAGACCAAGAAATTATATTCTGTTTATAATAGAAGTTTCCAGCAGCTGAGTTCCTGTAGAAAATGAATCAATTGCTTCCCCAGGTGTCTGGTTTTCCTCTTGATGGGGCAACAGAGAACCTTAGGGTTATGGGAAAGAGCCCGGGTAACCCCCGGCGCCGGCCAGTGTTGCAGACTGCGGGGTTTTTTGCATTAAATACGGAATGATGAACCGTGAGAGAGGTTACAGTTAAGTGTAACGGCATTTTTGTTTTGTAAAGCGCATATTCCCAATCACGGGACATGGTTCTGCGGCTGGGCAGTAGCGGTGGGTCGTCTGGCAGCTGTGTCGGTGGAACGAGCCGGGTTGCTGCC